ATGGAGGGGGTCCTGGTCGCGAAACCTGGAACTGAAAATGCTGCTGCTATCGGGCGCGCAACTGCATTTGGGTTCGTGGCTCCTATCAGGTTATTCTGTTGGTTCTGGGTGCATCTACTCTATCGATTGATCTCGCTTTTGCTTGTGCCGGATGTAGGTCTAGGCGCCATATGGTCCAATATCCCTACACCCTAAAACCCTGAGCCCCGAGCCATAAAGCACGAACACCTCTTCTTCACGACTCGTTTACAACCCCTTAGACGCTTTAATACGCTGTTGAACCGTCCGCAGGACTTCCTACAAAACCCTGCGAAACCTCGCAGAAACTCAAAAGGTCCTGCCAAACCCAACAAGAAAGTTTTCACAAATACACAAAATCCGGCACAACCATTTGTAGGACCTCCCGGCACTTCGGCAACAGCTGGAGCGTCATTTGCAGTCCCTCGAGCAAGAGCTCCAGGACCCGCCCGATCAGACAAATAGGGTGTTACAGGCTACTGAAAGGGTGTCATGGGGCTTTTACTACGATTGCAGCTGTGCTAAAGGTGGCTTTTGCATGTGGGACTCGGATAGCTTTCTAGCGGGGTCTTTGTAGTAAGGATCCTACTACTTGTGGTCTGAAATGGGGTACCTGGTGCATTTCTTTGCTTCTGATGAGTTGGCAGGGCGTCGGGCGTGTTCGCAGAAGAACATGTTGCCTGCCCGGGTATCATTCGGGTAGGGATTCTCTAACTTACGGTCCTAGTATATATTACCGGTGAGCTAAGCTACCCTGTTGAAAATTCAGAGTAACCCCAGTTTAGAGAACTACGCTTGGTGTGTTCGGTGTGGGGGTTTGGGCGAGCCCTGGATAGAGGCAGAACCCAAAACTTAAAACAGGTCGAATTCGGAACGAGACAGACCACCGAAAATTGCGGAGCAGAGGCTTGGGAATAGGCTTTAGAGTTTCGGGTTTAGGGGGAATTCCGGCGGCTGTCAGGATCGAATCCTTGCTGGTGACCGCGAATCCAACGACACAGCGAGCATTTTGACTGCAGCTGTAGCAGAGTATTGCCTACAGGCTGAGGCGGGAAGCTTTTCAGACGGAGTGTTCAGCGAAGGTATGTCATATGTCATATATATATATATAATATACAGATACATACATACATATATGTATATGTGCATGTGTTGAATATCTACATATACGTACAAACGCACGCATACACTCTTTCTTCTGTCCGTATATGTACATGCTACTTAACTACACATCGCAACGCTTACTGTATGTCACATGATGAGCCCTCCTCAACCCTTGTTTTGGAACCCAGCTCTGGGTGTTGCAAGTGCTTTCGAAGAGCCCTAAACGCTCAACCCTAAACCCCAAGCCCTGGCCCTAGGCCAAGCCAGGCCCGCGTGAACACAGCCTTTTAAAGTCTTGGAACCCAATAAGCCGAAAACTGGAATCACATAGGGGCCTTGACAACAATTAGCAACCATGTTCCTTAGGCTTCCGTGTGGTGATTATCGTCGAATAGACCCCTACCCCTATTTAGATTAACCCCTAAACCCTAAACCCTAAACCCCAAACCCTATACCCTAAACCCGAGACCCTAAACCCTAGAGCCTAAACCCTAAACCCTAAACCCTAAACCCATCTGATTTCAAGGCGTAGGTCCCAGGGCCAATCTTCTTTCTACCTTGCGTTGCTGCAAGAGCGACCCAGAGAGCCCAATACCCCCTTAATTAAGGAATATGGCCATAAGGGTCTAATTAGGGTTTAGGGTTTAGGAATATAGCTTAAATTATAGGGGCCATGATATCATAATTTAAGGTATGTTTCCTTAATTAAGGGGTATTGGGTTCTCTGGGGAGACCTGTAAGGAGGGGAGTTTCGGAACGTAGGTGGCCTTGCAGTAATCTCAGCCCGAACCGTAGTGTAGGATCCTTTCAGAAAATAGGTGGCCTTGACTCCCACAACAGGATCCTTAGTACAAGGACCACAAGATCAGGGACCCTGAATGTTTAGAAACCCTGGTACTTTAGAGGCCGGAATAGCTATGGACGAATGCTGTTCCTTCGGGTTCCTAAGTAGAAAGGTAGTGCACTATACCCCAAAGCCCAACTCTACCTATGATGGCCTCTATAATATGGCCGATGCCCTTCAGTTGCAGCACTTTTCGGGCGGCGAAGACCTCGCCGCCGACCCCAGAAGCAATAAGATCGTCAGCAGAAGCAAGGTTCAGGGTTTAGGTTAGGGTTTAGGGGTTTAGGGGTTTAGGGTTTAGGGTTTAGGGCTTGGGGCTTAGGGCTTTAGGGTTCAGGGTTTAGGGTTTAGGACTCTCCTGGCCAGCAGTTACCACGATCCCGCGAAGTAGCCGGCAGCATTGAAGGCAAAACGAGGAGCGACATGCGAAAGAGTTTGGAGAAGATCATGTCCGAAGCTGCTACTCTCCGGTCCTTGGTGGTCTACTCGCGACAGAGCCTCCGCAAAAGCTTCGAGCCTAAACACCAAATCCTCGAAAGGTGCCCAGCTCCCTGTTCTTGTCCTGGTAGGTTGCTTAAACGGTTCCAAAGAGGTCCTGGGTTCGATGCAGGATTTGGGGCTGTAGAGTTCCCTGACATTGTGGCTTAGGGCCGACGCTCAGGGCGTAGGGTGTGGAGTCTAGGGTGTATGCATCGATTCTTGCTGATGCCAGCATGTGAGGATCTCCCGGGTTGGGCGGACGGAGAAGAACACGGCGCTAGCGGATGCCAGGCTGCTGGATGACATCAAGAATCTGCAGGTCTCAAGGCGGCTCATGCGCAAGATGAAGCGGCAGGAAAGGGAGCAGAAGAGGCTGGAGGCTGGCAAGCCGCCTCTCCGACGGCGTCGACGGCGGAATGCAGGTGGCAAAGGAAGCAGAACGAACAGCAAGGGACGCAGTTCCAGCAAGACGAAGAAGGAGGACCAGGAGGACTCAGATCTTCAAATCCTCGCGAAGTGCTACGAAGATCACTAATCAACCAACAGCCAAGTAGAGTTCTAGCCCCAACCTGTGGAAACCAAAAATAATGTAGAGTCCTTCATATTTACCAATGTTATTCCTTAGGGCTCCCTAATGAATAATATTATATTATGAAGGAGCCCCAAACCGTATTCTAATGATTAAGGCCCCTACATGAAACATGTCAGAAGGAGCAAGCAGACGCCGGCAGCTCTTCCAGTTCCAGCAGCGACAGCTCTGGCAGCAGCAGCGATGATGATCCATAGATGCATGTTCATAATGTACGGGCCTTGATAATTAGCATAGGGTTTGGGGGTATTTTATACTATGACTATAATAAGGACCCCTCCCCCCGCCGCCCCCCCAAAAAAACCCTATTCCAATTGTTAAAGTCCCTATATTAAGTGGATTAGGGGATTAGGGTTCTATGGCTCAGGATGGAAAGGCTTTTTTTGGTGTTGCTCAGTCTGAAGGTTCGGGCATGAAAAGTTCGAGGGTCTTGGCAATCTAGGGCCTAGGGCTTACCTGGACCCCAAAAGTATGCAGAATAATGGCCTTTTTTGGCCTTGGGCCATTATTTTACCTACATTTGAGGGTTTAGTTTAGGGTAGGGCTTAGGAGTCCAGGGTGCTTACGAATCCCTATTGCAGCAAGATTTTTGTTGCTGCCTTCTCTGTAGCCTTGCTACAAAAGCCTACTACAACGATGACCGAGGATTATTCCGACAGCGAAGGGGATGAGAGCGAGGATCAAACGGACGACGAGAGTGTGCAGGTGGAGGGTCTTCAAGAGGACGCCGGTCAGGTGGTGTTTTCGGGCTTTGGGGAAATCCTTGTGTTGGCAAACTCCGGAAAAAGGCTGCCACACGAGGCGCAGCACCCTCAAGGCGACCCTGATATAAAACCCTGTAGAATCTCTGTAGAAGAACTAAAAACACCCCTTAATAATCCTCTCCACTTTTGGGCCAACCCTATGCAGAGGACCCCACGCAAGATGCTGACGTCTTCGAAAGCTGCCGAGCTGAGACTTCGGTTGCCAGTAGTTTTCGTTCCAGCGGCGGTGTAGCACTTGAGCTGGCGAAGCCCGAAACGCCATCTCCAAACCTTTTAAGCAGTATAGTTGGGAGCATCTGCAGTAGATTTGAGAAGTTAGGAGAGCGTCGCCACGCCCCTGACGCTGGGTGAAAGCACAGAATGTCCAGACGATGCGCAGCGCGCGACGCCCTTGGAGATCGGTGTGACACCCCCGCTTCTGACTCTCGGACTTCTCGAGATCTTTCCATGTTTCGGGTTTAGGGTTTTAGCTTCTGTACCTAAACCCTAAACCCTAAACCGTTGTTTGTGGGTCTAGGATAAAGAAAAAGGTGACTTGAGCAGAGAGTGGGTTGACGTAAGAGTAGTCTCCGTTCCTTGGGTACAAGGAGCAACGTGAGGGCCGATAACCAGAGACTAGTGTCAATGAGTGCAACATAGGGGCCTAAATAGTTACCAGTATTATTTTGTGGGTTTCTCATTATAGCGGTAGTATGATATGCCTCAAAACCCTATTCTAATTAATATGGGCCCTATATGATGCCCTTGTCTGATGAAACCATCCCTCCCGGCCCCCAACCTGCAAGATCGCTTGCGCCTGGATGGTATCGGGGGACGGTGTTGATTGATTACCGGTCACAACTGAAACCTCTGGAACTTTAGGTTTAAAGGACGTACTTCTTTTTCAAACCCAAACTCCCGAATGCTAAACCCTAAGTTTAAGGAACATCTGGGCTCTTTGAGAGGGTCCTTGCGCTCTTGACCGAGGCCGTTCCCTGAAGAGCCAAAGGACGCAGACACCGAGCCCTCTGAATCCCCGATCCTCCCCATTCGCACGGTGAGTGGCATCTTGGCCCTGGTTTAGAAAATATAGGTGTCTAAATGGTTACCAATACTATTATGGGGGTTCCGTATTATTATTATTATACAATAATATACCCCAACACCCTATTCTAATATTGAGTTCCGTAATGTAATTATACTATAATATACCCCAACACCCTATTCTATTATTGAGTTCCGTAATGTAGTTATACTATAATACCCTACTCCAATTTTGAGGCCCCTAGATTAGAGAGGTTAGAGGTCAACTCGGGGCTGATCGGTTTTGCAGGGGTTTGCAGGGGGTTACATTTGGGTTCTGCAGCTCTACGACGTGGGCGGGATTTGACATCTCGTTGCACAGCTCGGACACGATCACTAGTTTGAGCTTACCGGTGGTTGTACGTGGAGTCAGGGTGATTGTATAACTTAGGACGATGAAGAGTCTTATTATCAGTATGTGAACGAATGAAGCCACAGCGTCATGACATGTTATGGCCCCGCTTCTTTATGTGCGTGGTTGTCAAAATTATGGTCCCTTTTTGGGTCCTTATTTTAATACGGCACCTATTATTTAGGATACCCCAAAAGGGACCCTAATTTTGACAACCACCCATGTGCGTAGTTACGAGTACGCGAGAGTTCAGGTGCCTCGATCTCTTTGGGACCGCAATGGTCGCGGGTTGGTTCGAAGGCCATGACCTGTGGCAAAAAAGGAGCACGTTACCCATCCTGGATATGAGTAGTTCTTTAAGTTCGGGTCCCTTTTAGGGTCCTTTTTATAAGGGTGCCGTACTATTCTGGGGGACCTAGATGGGACCCTAATTTTGAGAACTACCCATATTCTAAGACTGGAGGGTCCAGCCTTGCGGGCTTGATTCGCAGGCCAGCGTGGCAGGTGAGAGCTCCCATGAGCGGTACCTCATCGAGGAGGCTGCAGATGTGGAGGTGGGCTTCCGGGTGTTTGGAGGCTTCCAAGGGCTTTGGGTTGCCCCATAGGTTCCATAGTAGTTCTTTTTGGTGGCTTATATTTAGGATCCTATTAGGTAATCCCAAAAAGGAACTCCCCTAAACCCTAAACCCTAAGTATGGGGCCTATGGGTGGAGCCTTGAAGTCCAGGCAAAAGCTGTCGTTCATAGCAGCGTGGACTGGCAAGCCACGGCTGCTGAGTTCATGGTGGGTCGCCGTGCCGAGGACCAGAGCCAGAAATAAGCCATAAATTTGAGGGCCTTAGTAACTAGAATAGGG